TCGCTTTAACCATAAAATGATCTAAAGGCTGCACAAAAAAAGGAAAGCATAAAATACCGTCGTTGGAACGTTCCATCTTCTGCTCTTCTCGGTGATGAAAGCAATGCAACAATTCATTCCGTGAGAAATCATTAACAGAAAGATTCTCTCTTCCTCCTTCGATCCGCAACGCTTGTACCAAATCTTACTATCCCAAAGGAGCAACATCATCAATGATCTTTTTAAAGAAATCGAGCTCGAACTAAAATTGTAGCCTTCTAGCCAATAGCTCAACTGGTCATTTGCTGACTAATCACTCCTAGGTAGATGCTCTTTCGAGAAAACGCAAGTGGTATATTCAAATGCAATGAGAACCAACTAGTGGAGGACTTCACATACCATCTGCACAAAAGCGACAAGAAGGAAGACCCTCATGACGAACACACGATCAACTTATTGATCAACATGCTCAGTAAGTTTCTAATAAAGTGTCCTAAAGCGCTTCTAGGAGAACTTGTTTGAAACCCAACTTATGGAACACAGTTAAGATTTCTCAAAGGATTTAGCCGTATTGATCACACCCAAGAATTCTTGAGCGTCAAAGAAATCTACTTTATTGACCCAATTACTTGATCAAAGTACGAACGAATCCTATACAAAAACGCTTGTTGACAGTAATAATTACTGTACAACGAACCACTCGCTATTCGAAGCAGTAACGGAATGCGATAGAGCGTTCACAAGGTGTTCATTGTCGTGATATTGTGGTGTGTGCCTTCACTCAGTTGGAACTGCAAAGCAGTACGTGTCAGCTTCTTTCCAGTCTGCGGATGTCATTTTTTTTCCAGAAATATCGCAGGAGTAGATACAATGCTAATCATACTCGACGAATAAGGAAATGAATTGCGAATCAATCGCGAAAAAGTTCAGTTTGTCAAAAACGCCTGATACGAAACAGAACAGAGCATCACCATTCGTGATAATATCCTATGCTCACCTGGATGGATATTCCATGAATATGGAAAACGACTTTGATGCTCCACTTAGTTTACTCTGCGTCCTTGTCTTAAGAAAAAGTATAGTTTTATATACTTAAACTTGATACTTGAACAGCACATCCTCACTGGTTGTGCGGGCCCCAGCATAATCTCCATTTTTCAAAGGCCTGCTGATTAAACCACTTTGGTTCCCTGGAATCCCGAGGTCAGCCTGGCAAAAGGCTGCCACAGGTCCTCACCACCACGGGCAGCAGCAGCCCTTGTGTGGATCAGAGAGATTTGCCATCATGCGACTTTCATACCAGTATAGTGGTGGATCCTGGTATTGGTTCACTCTTAGCTAGATTTCCTGACGGAAACACCGGACTCCTCAGCTTGGGATACCCTGCCGGGAGACGAATCCTCCGCTGTACATCGTAGTCCGACACCCAGGAACACCTCCCGGCCAAGATGAGGCAGTAAAAAGTTGGGACGACAGTTTATTCATATACATATATATATACATATATATATATATACGTAGTTATATACGTAGTTACTTATTTTCAAAACATTATGAAACCTTTCTTGAGGTTAGCCTCACACCAATGCACGTTAATTTCCACCAGTTACTTCCATATGCTTACGTGAATACTTGGATGACCTATCTTCACTGGTCCTGTGAGCCCCAGCTAAATTTCCATTGTTTCGGAGTTTTACTGGTTTAACCATTGTGGTTCCCTGGAGTTCCGAAGTCAGCCAGGCTAAAGTATGGGTTATCCTTAGCTGGGTTCCGAAATGAGAACGCCGGACTCCTTTTCAGCTTATCAGACCTTGCTGTAGGGTCAAATCCCCATTGTACATCGCAGCCCAACATCCGGGAAAACTGCCCACTCACGATGAGGCTGTAAACCGTTGAGAGGCATCTCCACACTGGTGCTGGTAATATATAAAATATAATAAATACAAGATATTTAAGGAATTTTACTACTATCTCTGCACCCTTACTGTTGTATATCACATCGTACCCTATCATTAAAAAATGAGTAGACAGGAAAGAAAAGTTGAAACACAATGACAAGATACTTCTATTGAGTAGATTGAAACCACCGAAGAGATTATGAGTGTCAAGTGAGCTTTCAGTACGAAATCATATTATCATAGTAATAACGTGAATGTAATCAACCGCTGTTGGATGTTTCAGAACTAAGAACTAGTACTTCACACTAGGCAAATGTCCAAAAAGCAAAAACACACCTCTCCAGTAACATCTGCAAGATAATCGATGCTATCCGCTTTACTTTTCAAGTTTAACATAAGAAACCCACATGATAAATTCAAATCTAAAATATATTTCAGCTGGCACAATGGCAACGCAGTCGTCTACGCACTACAAAGGTCAAATGAGAGGATAAGTCACGACATTCGGTAGTGCGATTCACTCGTGATTGCAAGAGTGCTAATAAAGCAATCTAACATTAACGATGAGGTCGGGATGAAAGTCAGGTTGCAAGAATCAAACCTTATCTCGGAAAAAAAGGTTCAGAAGGAAAACAGTTGTGAGTCTCCGCCATACACGAATGGTATCTGAGACGAAGGGTATCAAATTTCATGACGATGTGCACAGTGAAAAACATTATCGCCATTAAATAGCGAGCAAACCCTGTAAGAGAACGAGATAGATTGAGGAAAAACGGGGAAATATGTTGAAAATTTGCTTCGAAGAATAAAGAGGTAAAAACAAAGCCCGAAACTGCAATAAACACACACACACATCAAACAAAAGATAATAAACCTATAGCAAAATCGAACTACTTCCGAAGAAAAGAAACCAATGTTACCAACAGACATATTGGCAAGACTAGATAGTGAGTTACACCAACTCATCCTGAATAACAGGGCGCTTAACAGAAATGGAAAATAATGTAGGAATTATCTCTTTTTTCGTTCTCTCACTGAATTAGATGTCGGCGTCGTCGAATTCTGAAAAAATAACTCCCAATAAGCAGAATTTAAAAAACAAGTCTCAACATTAAACTCCTACAAAGATCAGACCGATCGTTCGTTCCATTCTCAATTTTTAACACATTCAGCGCAACAACGCTAACCAAGCACATAAGACAAATCAGAGATTTCTAATTCGACCAAAACTAAAGTTTAGCCTTGACGGAACGTTAGCCGTCAAATAGGGTTCAACCTATCAGCGATTTTCTTTTACGATGAGATTCCCTAACGTGCCAGATCTTGTGCACATGGCAACTAACGCAAGACTTCCTAACACTTCGGTTATAAAACCGCAATAACAAAAGACAACAACATCAACTGTATTACCTGTAGTCCCCCTGATCGCCGAGTGACTCTAGCGGACGCCAGTAAATCTTCCATTTTTCACGGTTGCGTGCAAGAGTAGCCCAGTGGGTTCTGCTCGCTCTAGGGACTCGTCGAGCATCATATTTCTCCTCTAGGTATCTTGTGAAGAATTCTGACCATCGAGTCGGTGGTCTTCCTGCAGTACGTTTGACATCCCGGGGAATCCAGTCACTAACGGCTCTTGCATATCGGTTGTCGTTCATGCGCACTACGTGCCTGGCCCACCTTATCCTCGACTGTTTGGTGTACAGAACGGCATCTTCGATTTTTGATCGTTGACACAGGTCCGAGCTTCGGATCCCATCCCTTACTTGTGTGAAACGGAATACTCCTAGCAACATCCCTTCGACTACGCATTCGATAACGCTGAGTGATCTTCCATCCTGCTTACGCAGCAACCAGGTTTCTGACACATACGCTAGGGCAGGAAGTGCCGTTCAGCCGAAAAGGTGAACATGGAGAGGGTGTTCTCTGTTCTCTTCACTACATCCTCGATGCTATTGAAAGCTCCCCAAGTCGCTCGTTTTCTTCTGCTCAGCTCTAGAGCTAGGTCGTTCATCAAGTTGCTCTCACGACCTAGATTGACATAACTGGAGTATACAGATTCATTCCACTGAGCGTGAATGGGGCATACGTAACCAATCCGTTCCCCGCAAATACCGTTTTTGTGAGATTTATTCGGAGACCAATCTTTTCATAGGGTTTATCAAAGTCGGCACGCATACGTTCCGCTTGGCTAATGTCTGGAGTTATAAAGACGATATTATCAGCAAAACGAAGATAATGTAACTGCCCACCATCAATTTTCACTCCCTTACTATCCCATTCCAATGTTCGCATGACGTTCTGGAGGGTGGTGCTAAATAATTTTGGCGAGATGGCATCGCCTTGCCTAACCCCTCTTTTGACGTCAATGTTAATATCGTTGTAGAACGGTGATAGCTTGGTTGTGAAATTTTTGTACAGTTCGCGAAAAATCTTTATGTATTAAGTAGAGACCCCTTGACTATCAAGGGCTTTCAAGACTGATTCTATCTCAATTGAATCAAAGGTCTTCTGTAAATCGATGAAAGTGAGACAGAGCGGTCTATTGTACTCTCGCGATGTTTCAATGAGTCTTGTTATCATGTGGATGTGGTCCATCGTACTAAATGGTTTTCACATGGCTTCCTTCGTCCAGTGTTTTGTCAATCTTGTTTAGGATGACTCGAGTGAAACGTTTGTAGACGACAGAGAGCAAGTAGATTGGTAGACAGTTACCGATACCGTGTAGGTCAACAACATAAAATATCTCAAGACATAATAACATGAAAAATCTCAAGAGCGCAAGATTTGTTCACCATAACAACGACTGGCAGCTAGTCTTTCTTTGAAATTCTCAACGTGATCTCTGTTTACCATCACTGTACTGCTACCTGAAGCGCTAAGAATATTCCATTCCTTGTATGCCTCATCATAAGCAAGGACGAAGCAGAAAAGAACAAAGTGCTGGCTGTATCTTCTCTTTACAGGTGATGCCGAAGCAAACAACAATCTACTTATGCATCTACTTTAGAGTCATCAATAACTTAAAAACCACCAGTAATCATGAGGTGATGAGTCTAAGTAGCACTTCGACAACTTCTTTGCTGTTTGTTTAAGAAAATCAAGCTGTAGCTATTGATTATGGTGAGCTCAGGGAAAATGTAATGACTGAATGGTTTCAGGGGTATGAATTCCACAGATTATGTGATCGAACGTTGAGGTATGATTTCTCCTACCAAGTCGCAAGTCTAATTTAGCTTTTCCTCCTTAAATTGGCCTGTGGGACGGCGGATCACTGACCATCGACGCCAAACCTTCAAGATCAAATTTTGTAAACCAAAGGCTGGATGTGAACTGGTTCAACTTTCTGTTACAAATATCTAATGATTTGTCTTGGTCTCATAGTTCCTCATAAATGTGGAAAAGTACCCAACAGAGGAATTAGAAATGAGCTTACGTGGAAAGCCCATCGACAAAAGATAATGAAACCCTGGCAGTGATATAATAATCATCAAACAAAGTAAACTTTTTTATTAACTGCCCAATGCAACTTTTCACGACTGGGTTTTCGCATAATACCCTACCTTGAAAAAATACAATAGGCAATGAATAAAAATGTTAACATTGTGATTTCTATTGCGGTCTCAGCTTAACTGTGTTCAATGCCGATTTGAGCTCCTCAGATCAATCCCGTTGACGGGTGATTGCTGATGTACTGGTAGATAGAAATCTAGCTGAAAGACAGATGAAACAAAGAATGCGCATGGTGTGGTGGCGAACGCGTTAGCCCCCTTGAAATGTTAATAGCATGTTTGATCCTCACCGCAGACACCTTCCGTCCGGAATCATGAAACATTTCGCTCAGAGTTTTTGCAGCATCGTAATTCATAACCAGATTAAAACTTACAGCAAACTTCTCTCCAAGTTGTATTGCACCTCCAAGGGCTCCAAGCTGTCCAGTATTCGGTGAGATGAAATTTGTCCACAAGAAGGTGACAGCATCATCCACCTAACAATGTTTCACTGCATCACAAATAAATGTCTACTAGAACCTTGAAATATGGAAGGAACACGCATTAAAAAATATACGAAAGAATAATTAATCAGTTGGAAATTAAAGAAAGCATGATGACTGCGACAGATATTCAAAACCACTTCTCCTTTTAATATACAAATTCAGACATTTAAGTGAAGGGATTGAAAACGTGTATACTCACCCATCCACTGGCTTCACGCAAGGTTCCCGAATACCGTGCATACGCCCACACAGTCAGCGCGCCAATCACAATTACAAGTACTGATGAAAAAAGCCCTTAAGCAAAACAAAATTAATGAGGCGATGGCTGCTTCTAACATATCTTAACAAGAACTACCAGCGAGGAAGTCTAGTCCAATCATTTGACAGAATTCCTGGCATATATAGTCGACTATCATTAACGAAACAAGAACAGCAGGTGTTCGCATAGATTTGAACAAATTCTTTCCATTATTCATCTTCAGATAGGATTCATAACTCTCCTAAACAAATCAATAAAAGCCTTGTCAAAAAAGAACATTATGTGACTCCCACTAATCCTGTAGACTTTTACAAGAAAGGCATTCCACAAGTAGGTTTAATCCTAGTTTCAAGAGCAAAATCCACTTCCTCCCAAGAAGTCTGAGCATTGCCAGGCATGGCATGAACCATCCAACAGTGTATGACTAGCAGAGAATGGCCGTAACCCACATCATTTCTCACTTCACCGGTCCTCTTGTGGACATTGAAGTGTGCTACACTAAAGAGAGCGAAACACTTCTGGAGAAACAGAGACGCAAGTTCACATCATAACTGAACTCAAGAGTAGTGGGGCTACGAAAAGCAGACACGACCCAATGGCTTTTATATGAGGTTAACTTGGCCAACAAAATGACACCATCAGAGTAATTTACCCAATACATTATTTTGGCAGAAATGTTCTTGAAATGCAAAGCAATGCCAGGTGCCGAACGAATAGTTCGTCATTTTCACAAGAAAGGTATTCCACAAATTTGTTCGCAATCTCCTCGGGTTCAACGTTTGGTTCAAAACATTAACCACATAGGCAATGGTTGGATTTTGTACCGCTTAGTGGCCTGTGGAGATGAACCTGACATCAAGAGTAAAGCCATATCCGGACCGGTATTTGGCCTCCATGAAAATATAGATTTGTGTTATCCTTCATCTTTACCTCAATAACTTCATCAAGTTTATCCAAGAACTGTATACTGTATTCTACTCCACCCATCTTGCGAGCGTTCCGAAATTCGCGTATTGCGTCATTCTGAAATCAAGACGATCTTTCTGCTATAGCAATGGACAATAAACAACAAACTTACTTTGCACAGTTGATGTTGTTCAAGTAACTCACTGGTGCTCATATATGGAGTATCTCCACCACAGATCTAGGACACTCAACAAATTATTAATCCTACCTTCTTCAAAAGTTAGTTCCACCTAAAAACCAAAAGAAAAAGCACCTCTTCCATCTCCCTTTGATAGAGAGCTCGAGCACTAGCAACTGCAGCTAAGTTGTTCGCCTCAGCTGTTGCCTTAATTCCTGACAATTCTTCCAATTACAAGATTACCATAAACAAAAACATATAGCGTTAAGTTTCGAAATCTGGAGGATATAAAAACTTTTTTAAAAAAAACCTAGAATACAGACCATCAGCATGGACTTCGGCTCGGGTAAATCTTGTCCTTGGAAAATCTTCATATACGACTGAAATTATAAGGATTGTCTTTGTGGAGGAAAAGGTTTGATATTGATATTAAGTTTCACGAACCTTAAAATACTCGACAAGTTCTCTACATGTCACTTTATGTCCGTTTATCTCCTTCACAGCCAAATTTCGCGAATCAAGAATGCGTGGCACCATCACCCGTAACTGTTGTTGAAATTCAGGATCGATGTCTACAAGTCGTAGAAAAAACTTGATTGATAGAGAAAAAGTGTACCGAATACTCTACAAAAACTGGATGCCAATCTACTAAGAACTGGAAAGAGCACAACGAGTCTAAAACGATACAACTGAGATTACCACATAACAAGGCCACTCTTACCAGCTAAAGAACCGTTGAAATCTGGATTCGTAGCAACTTTAATGCCAGGGTAAGGCATTAAGAAACAAGATATATTTTCGAAACAACTCCGTATATGCTGCCGAAGCTGTTGAAGTTCAGGATGTTGCTTCGCTGACAACTGAAACAATCAACGGTCCTTATTTGCAAACCAAGAATGGAAATGGTTATCATTCACAAAAAAAGCGCACAAACTTGCAACCGTTCATCTAGTATGCGCTGCCCTCCTTGATAACCGAATTCGGCTTCGTATGGGAAAGACCAGTCACGAACAAGAAATTGCAACGACTAAAAATCTACTTTTGTTAACATATCGTAATGTAACACTTTAATTGGTTCGATATTCGGCATATGGTAGTTTTGACGGCTAACTTACTTACTTGGATACTCGAACGGCCCGTCCTCACTGGTTGTGTGGGCCCCAGTACACTCTCCATTGTTCGGAATTTTGCTGGTCTAACCACTGTTTCTCTGGAGCCCTAGTTCAGCGTGGCTAAAGTCTGTCCAAGGCCGTCACCACCACAGGCAGTCGCTGCTCTCGTGGATCGCAGGGAGATTTGCGACCATGCGAATCTGAGACCAGAACGATGGTGGATCTTGGTACTGGTTTACTCTTAGCTGGGATTCCTGATGGAAACGCTGGACTCCTTCTCAACTTGCAAGACCCTGCCAGGGGAATAAATCCTCCGGCTGTACATTGCAGCCCAACACCCAGAAACACCTCCCAGCCATGATGAGTTGGTAAACCGCTGGGAGATTTGATGACTAGACGATAACCAATTCCTGTTTGAAATGTTCACTCTGCTTAGATCGTAAAGTACTTTAATTGTATAGACATTAGGAATTGAAACAGCACCTTTCAAGAGAAATATGTCTTCATTTTACTGAAACAACTGAAATTACGGAACTTTGCACTAATAGTACCTTAACACATTCTCATGCTTCTTCCTGAGTATCTCACCGTCCTTGAGCGGTTGGCCAACTCTTTGTTCATAGTTCAATATTTATATTCTTCCTTTAACAGTGTGCTTGATCAAATCGTAGAACAATTTATCGAGGAAGTAGCCCCGATACGTACACACTGTGGCGAAGATATAAAGACGTCATACCATGGATAGTGAGGACTTCAGGAAGATAAATTGGCCAACGAACAATAAACCAGCCTCATCAACCCTTAAGTATTCCGTCTATGACATCAGGCAGTGCGACAACGGCAGATGTGAAAAAAGCAGATCTTGAGCTTCGTAGGATACCACTAAGATCGGATCAAACGAAAATGCCACGGCGACTGCTCTGCACCTACATACCACAACGGTCAACTCAGATGTTGATCTTCACAATTTCCTGAAGTAAGAAGCTCCATGTGATTCCACAATAAACAAAACGTAAGAAAGAAGAAAGACTGACATACGCCAATTAATTACGGAACCCTTAGTATTCGTGGTAGAACAATTCACAATGTCGTTGGCAACACAGTTGATGATAAATATGAGCTGAAGATGACCTCCGCCAGAAGGTTAAAATCGGTGCAGGTAGAAGAAAACTTGTGGAATTAATCAAAGAACAAGTCTAAAGAAAAGTCGTCCAGATTTATGCAAAAATAATGTTTCGCTGTCACCCCTGATAAACGAAAATGGAACCACTATTACATTCACCCATTATATACGGAATTTCCACATCAATCTTTCCGTTCTACGACTCCTGTAACTCGGATCTTTAATTCATTAAAGAACTAGAACAAGAGAAAAACCGCCCTTTATGCTGATGTCGCGACGAAAGCACAGAGAGAGGCACAGCAACAAGATAAAATAACATCATAGCAGACTTCTTCGTTGCTGGAAACCAGAAACAATTTTTTTATTTTCGGTAGCATCGCCTTCTGGTTTGTGTTTGACAGTGTCGAAATGCAAATTTACCAACGTTTGCAGATCAAGGAGAAGACCTGTCGAGCATAGGAAGTCTAGCTAAGTACAAAAACCTCAGATGTAGTTAAACCAACTCGAAAATCTTAAGAAATTCGTCGACAACGGATGCAAAACAACGAACCGGAAGAAAAGAATTTCTGCGACCAGCATAACACAACCTCAGGTCATACAAACGAAAACTGAAAAAATCCACTCCTAAAGAGAAATAGGGTGAAGTCTTTTCAGTGAATTTATCGAGTCTTCAAATCTGTGTGTAATCCAATCATCGAAAAATTATCCCCAATGATATAAAAATCATCATCACCACCAAAATGCTAAATAATCAGTAATGAGAACTCTTGCTACCGAAAACATAGAGTGGACAAAGAGGATTTTCATGCATTATGTTGAATTTATATTTAGCACACTAATTTTGTCGTTCATCTATTGAAAAAATACTAATGCACTTTATTGCCTCATAAAGTACATAAATTAGGGGACGGATAGCACAGTCGTAGTGATGCCGGTATAACAAGCACGATGCTGGTTCGACCCCTCACCGGACCTACCAAGCCTCTCATCTCTCTGGGAAATGGAGATTGGTCCCGGAATTCACTCGGCTATATCAGAACTCCAGGGAGAATCGAATAAAACAACACTCTACGACAATCAAGATAAAAGAAAAATCCTCAAGTAGCCGAAGCCACCCGTAAAAGCATGAAGACCTTCGTGGGTGATTGATCCGAGGAAATAAATCGAATGCGAGAACTGTTGGGATCTGCACAGCAGATGTGGAGACGGGTAATATAAAAGAAAAGTTACAAAAATGAGCTACCTGAAACGGCTTGCTTTCATTGTCCTCTAATGCTAAGCGGCCATATTCTGTGAACATTTGCAAGTGCTGCAGATGGTCTTCTTGAATATTGTGCAGAATATTATAAATCTGGAAGTTCATGGATAAATGCAACTACCTAAACGTAGACAGATAATACACGATTCACATCTTAGAAATTGATTAGCACTCGCATTTTCATTTGAAGGTAGACGAAAATAAAACATACTTTTAATTTACAATAACATTTATGTAAACACAACATATCACGTCATATCATAAGGATGACACGACCTTATCAAATTACCACTATACCTTTCAAAAACTAAAAAATAAGGTGTCAAAAGGCTCTTTTGGTTTTAAGAGCGGGTTTGAAGCTCACTTGAGGTTCTCACATTTCTGTGCCCTGACGGTTGCTTTGATTCTTAAACATCGAACTAAACGGAAATTAACGCCAAACAAACACCGTAGCCCAACAGACAGTGTGACCCCTACCTCTCCCCATGATCACCTTGTGATCATAACAACAAAATAAAATAAATTTATTTCCGGCCTTAACCTTTCAATGCATACGTACATAAAGGAATAAGTGATAACCAACTCAAAACATTTTTATATAAGTAGAACAAAAACAAACCAAAACCACTACATATTATCGCCATTTCACCAGAGTTATACTAAAGAATCGAGTCCATATTATATGTACATGTACACACACATATACATTGCACATATATGTATATAAACACATAACATATATAGGTGTATATAGATGCATATACCTATGTGTATAAAACATAGTAAATTACTTAATAAACAAGAAACCTGCATTGAAGAAACCATTGTGGAGAGTGCGAAAATTGTTGCACAATCTTTCACCGTACTCTGAGAGTCAAAAGTACCTTGAGTATCCATGAGAATGACGGCAATCTAAGAAATGTTAGACATACACGAATTTGTATATCCTTGGGAGTCACTTTCTTTTCTTGTAAGGCATTTAAACTAAAATTGCTGAAGAATAACGTTACGAGGGAAGCTTCCTTGCTGCCTAGTTGAAACCTGATTTGAAGAACCAAAAGCAAGTTCTTAACACACTAGGAAGCTAGGGTAGAAGCTGAGCAATAGGCTTGTTTGCACTATAATTACTGCTCCAAGCATAGAGTTGGAACGACGCCGATTTTTAGCAACTGCTGATACCCTCCTGGTAATTATAGGAACTCAAAACTTGACACAATAGTATTGGAGTAGGAGTAACGCTCTAAGGGTATTTTCCAAAAAAAAAATAAAGATGACACATCCAAAATATCCTTGCACATTTTAGAAGATCCAACTTTTAAAAGCGAAGTTTTTTTTCTTATGATGGCATACAACGTCAGACCTAAAGCAACGGTGCTTCTATAATCCCATTTTTTAACTGTGATCATGGTAGTCGCAAACATCAATGGTGTATCTGAGCACACTATAACGGGCAACTAAGAAATCCCACAGGTTAAATTTCGTTGCTGGATACGATCACCGACGAGAACTAATAGTAAGGATAAAAATAAATACGACTTAACAGGTCCCAGAATATCAGCAATCATCTCCGTAGAACAAAATAAGCCCCTCTTTAGTAAACATTTGTGGACTTTAAAAACTTTCATTTCAGACAGAAAAGGCTCATTATGAGTTGCGATACGTTTGTTTGTAGCTCAAAGGTACAATTATTTTCAGGCACATAAAGATTAGAACGACTGCTCAATGGGGCAAGTGTAATAATCGAATCTAACAGCGGAAATATCCTAGAAGCACCGTTGCTTTAGGTCTGACGTTGTATGCCATCATAAGAAAAAAAACTTCGTTAGACCGATAATCAGGTTGGCGTTGAACGCCAATGAACAAATTCTAAGCCTATATCAATTATAAAGAATAGAAACAACCTAGCAGTAATGAAGTTTCTAAAAACAAAAGCCTTTAAGGAACTGCACCTCTTCGCCGTTTTTGTCCCTCATTATGAAAGGCTCACTCCAGATAAGGATTCCATTAGTGTCTCGTTTGCTACCGCCCCGCCATGAAAATCCCTTCAATGAATCTGCTGATATGTTAAGCCAATCCATTCCAAAACCATCATCATCTAAACAATCCGACTTTTTTAAAAATAAATGTTTACAAGATTGATTTGTGAACACTCATACTTCTTAAAACAACAATCCCTACGGCTCTCACAAATTAATAACGACAATAATGAAAATAATGATAAATTTTAACGGTAGCAGTGATAGTAATAACAACAACTATAACAAGATGATGAAGATGAAGAAAAAAAGAAAGCGGGAAAGTGAGAAGAAAGAACTTGGGTCCTGAAATGGCAATTGTTAAAAACTGTCAGACCAGAGCCGGAAAATCAATTACAAAATAAATCAGAGAAGTTGAAATAAGTATGACACGAAAGAAACTAACCAGATTCATCTGCACGCCACTGTAAATACCGGAGGAAGAAATTCAAGAGGAAAGATTTGCCCATCCTGTACGCACCCGCAACACCAATTATTGCCACCTAATAGAGTATAAACTTCAAAATAAATGCCAACCTTACATATTTTTGAAAACTCCCATAAACAGAGAAAAACATTCGACAGATAAAACCGACTCTGAAAGATTACGGACAAACATCACCTAACCTAAGGCCTTTCAAAAGCATGGCTTTGGACTTCGCACTTGGGAATAAATCTAGGTACTGTTATAGTGCTTGTTACTACGAAAAATTGTAAAACTTTATCCTATTGTAATGCTACCTCACCACCCAACGGTTTACCGCCTTACCGTGGCTCTTAATGGGCGTCGGGCTGCGATGTAGAGCAGGAGGATTCATTTCCACCCTACCCCCTACAGGATCTCCTATGATGGAAAGGAGTCCAGCGTTTTCATCAGGAAGGCCAGCTAAGAGTAAACCAATACCGGGCTCACCACCGTCCTGGTATCAAAAACTAGTCGCATGGTAGCAAATCTCCCTCTGATTCACAAGGACGACGACCGCCTGTGGTGTTGACGACCTGGGGCAGACTTTGGCATGGCTGACCTCAGGACTCCAGGGAACCACAGTGGCTAAACCAGAAAAACTCCGAAAAAAATAGAAGTTGTGCCGGGACCCACACAACCAGTGAGGACGGGCCATCCAGGTTTCCAAGTAAGCAGTACTACCTCAACATTATCGACGTTATAGGACAACTCTCATCATACAAACCTTTTTATCAGCAACTTTTGGATGCAGTAGAATCTTTTCGAGTGCAGGGACGTTTAGCTCAAAAGAGTGATCCACGTCCTCAACCACATCAACTATTCGAACCGGATGTGGACCACGTGTGATCATTCCGCTTTGTTCGTCCTAAAGGAACAAGTAGAAAACACGTGTATAACAATTGAAATCCCTAGGACAAATACGACTAAATACAATATCATAATCAAAGGTTTAACTAAGACTTACGTTCAGGACCACATCAAATTTACTGAAAAACAAAGAAGTTTGTCAACCGTAAGGCAGAAAAACTACCCCTTTTATATAAAGCTTGAGAAAGATCCTTCAATGCTTAGAAGTGATCGACTCAACAGTTTCACGGTGAAACAGTGATGAAAAACGCTTGAAGATATTGGACCCCTACTCGATTCAGAAGGGCAAGCGAAGGAAAATATGTGTATCCTGGAAACAAACCAGGAAAGCTAACGACATACCTCACTTCTTAACTTCAACGAGTCACTCTCCAAAGAAAATTCGCCCATGGCGAAAACCTAAAAGTAAAGATTCTGGGGGCAAGTGTAGTAGTAAAACCTTACCACAACAAGCACATCGATGAGTAAGGACATAAACCACAAGTAATCGACGAACATACCACTACAAAAAATTTTTGAAATCATGCTTATGGTTCCTAAACTGTACGACTCTAAATGGATCGATATCTACTGTTGTCTAAATCAATCTCGAAAGAATTCTTAACGGTTAAATTACTAGAACAGGAACAAAATGCTCTAGCTAGCTCGCCAGCATATACTTATGTCTACATATACATATACATATACAAGTGTATATATGCACATCCGTATACACACGGCATATACAAATATATACATATATATATACACATATATATACATATATGGATTTATGCATAACTGTTGCCACAAACGCATTATATATAAAGCGCTTTTCACTCAAAGATTGGCCAATTTAAAGTAACCACATGCTGAACATAAACGAATGAATACAGCTGTCTGACAAGACACAATATCTTCGTGAAACCAACAAGATCAATCATAAAGAGAGCCTGAAAACACTGAAAAGAATTTGTACTAGCTAAAACAAATGCCTAAACAGCATGCTTACAAGAAATACAAAGAAAAAACTGCTCTAATAACAACCATTGACCCAGAGCGAGGACTGAAGAGAAGAACAAGCAGAGAATCAGGAACCAAGAGTTTATAAGCCTCAAAACACTCAGAGTTGGGGTTCTCATTTTCGGCCCTTACTATTTTTCTGCCACTCTGCATTCGTACTTGAAGAAACTTGTTTAACTCTTTATATTCTTGTTGAGAAAAGTGTTAGCGAAGTGTGATTTTATTTCTTTACCTACGAACAAGCTGACGTTCCCGCTGATTTCGCCTTCCTCAGAGCTTGGAGGTTAAGTTGACTGCAATCTACGCAGTCAAACCACTCCATTTTACAAAGCAGGAAAATACTAAACCAAGATGTTAGTCGACTGAAAACAAACCAGCTTCTTCGCAAACCGCTTTCTATGAGTATTCCACTGAGCATGTCACATGGAGAGCTCACCATGAATGTGAAGAACTGTTCGATCAATGCTGAGGTGAATAGAGTTGGTCGTGGGAATAACTCGCTTAGTTTCAAACTACCTTCTCTACATATTCAAGAAAGTAGTTCCCTACGATACGTCTAACAAATCATATGAAAAGATGGAAAGACAATGTCATGCACGGCAGCTGCTCTAATCACAACCACAAACGCAATCCAAGAACTGAAAAAAAAACCGGTGGAGAACTCATATGACCCCCTCGGGTCAGAGACCAGACGCGAGAGCTGGCCAGGCAGAGAGCGAGAACGAACAACAGACTGCTAGCAGGTGTTCTGTGGCAGTACAGTCATGCGTACTGCTTTCAGGCTTGGTCAACTGCATAGTGTCGAACATCTCTCGATTAGGTCACGTGCGTATTCGCGCTGGAGAAAACGGCATCGCTAGTGCAAAGGATAGGTATTGACTACCACGCTGTGTTCTTCCCACCCTAGTGTATTGTTGACATACACGTCAATTATATTACAACAGGAATACGGTTCACTGGATTTGTAATTAATGTGCAAATGAGTTTCCTGATCATCCTAAGCGTGAAATACACAAACTATAAATTGTTCAAGCCTATCATCATTTAACCTTGACCTTAACAATCAATACCTTCTTGGATTGCCATAAATCGCATAGTTCTAGTTGTGGGACAGAAGATAACCGCTTCGGGCTTAAATGTTGCCGTTTTCTTTCTTTATTTTTTAGAAGCTTTCTTCCATACTTTTTAATACAAACACTTGACAAGTTTAATCCAGATGGTAGGTGCTTGTAAGCGCTACGCTTTACACAATAACCATCGAATGGTCCTCATCTCAGGCTCTTAGACTATCGATTGGTAGCCTTTAAGAACGTTTAGGAACAGTTAGGCGCTTAACAGCTGAACGAACATATCCTATCCACTCAACTCCTATTTTTTTCACTTTACTACAAATTCCCTCAGTCGTTGTAGCGGCTGCATAGCAATTTGTTCTGATGGGTACGAGCAATTCTTTTGATAGAATTCAACCCTACCTTGGATTAGATTCCAATGGAACTTAAGTATTGATCGGAAATTGGGACCAAGGATTAATAAATCAATATCGTGGCTTTAATATTAGGACGAAAAGGCTCAAAAACATGTTCTAACATCCAACAAAAGCCACATGAAAATGAGGTATCTTGTTTTCGATAAACACAAAACTCCACTATTTCGATTACGACACTACATTCTTTTACTTTACTACGGACTTCACTACAGGTATTTCGCCAAGAATCCCAACATCAAAGCCAATATGTGCTATAACTCGTACCAAACTACGAACACGAATATTCAACACAACACTTTTGACTTACATTTTGTTAGGTCACACGAATATCGACGATCTCTGAAAGATTGAACAATGAAAAATTGTTGAGAAAAAGTCGAAACACACGTCGATCTAGTGCACGTTTGCAAAGAGATACTACTTATTTAGCAGAAGAATGACAACAGTGAAGGGCGGATTTCGCTACGACACGCCGCATGACGCCGATCTGCAGACGCGGACAAGACACAGACAAATGGCTCGGCGGGCGTAGAGCCAGCTGAAGGCAGTACGAGAGCTCGTCCACGATGCATTGTCGGATGTATCTTTCCGGGCGTTCTACTTCAACCAAAGTTCTCTATCTGTTTGTTCGTATTAGGCACCAATTCTATGCGACTTTTGACTTTTAACTGCTTGGATACGTGAATGGTCCGCCCTCACTGGTTGTGCAGGCCTCAGCACAGTCTCCACTTTTCGAAGTTTTGCTGGTCTAGCCATTGTGACTCCCTGGAGTCCCGAAGTCAGCCTGGCCAAAGTCTGCCGCAGGTCGTCACCGCTACAGGTAGTCGACGCCTTTGTGGATCAGGCGGAGATTTGCCACCATGCGACTAGTTTGATACCAGGTCGGTGGTAGGTCCTGGTATTGCTTTACTCTTAGCTGGGCTTCCTGATGGAAACGCCAGACTTCTCAGCATGCGAGACCCTGCTTGGGGATGGATCTCCTCGCTGAACATTGCAGCCCGACACCCAGGAATACCTCCGAGCCGCGATAAGGTGGTAAACCGTTGAGAGTTGGGATTCAATGCGATCACATCTTGATATTAGTGATTCCCACGACCGACTTTCCGTTAACTTCGGTATTGATCGAGTAATTGTCTGTGTTCTTACTGAGCAAACACGAGGCGTTACTTTATTCTTTTCTACGGTAAAGCTGACGTTTCAACTCATTTAGCATTTTTCAAAGCCTGAAAGGGTTGAAAAAATCGACTGCAGTCTACCGAGCCAACTCACTTGACTCTTCCAGACTCTCAAGAATGCGAAGTCCCCCGAAACGTCAGCTTTGCCATAGAAAAGAATTAAGTAACATCTCGTGTTTGCTCAACAAAAACATAGGGAATTATTTAGTACTAGTGTTTTTGTCTACATCTTTTTGTGGATTTCAAAGTTAGATCCAAAGCCATGAGAACGGCTAGCAAGAGTGCATTCAAGCCCAGAAACCTTTAACAAATTAGCTACTTATATGCATTGAATGCAATGCATATATTGTAAAGAAGTGATCATATACAATTTAGCCCATAGTAAACCTTATCAAACGATATGAAGGAGAATAAAATCGCGACATTTTTCTAACAGAACCATTTGAAGGCGCCAGCTGAAGCAGTTTCACGTAAAGTGGTTGGACAGTATGCAAGACCTATACAGCTATAGCAAAACAACAGTTTTTTCAGTTCTGCAACCGAACTGAACAAATGAAGAAATACTTAGCGAATGGGAATCACATGAATTGAACGAATGATGAAGAGATAGTCAGCGTGAAGTCTTGGAGCCTTTTTTGGTTTCTTTTCCGTACATCATTATCGCATTGTGGATGAAACTGAAAGAGGATTCTGAACACCAATGTGTTCCGTTATGAGGAGGAGAAAGATAAAGAAGAGGAACACATCAGCAGACAATGCTTCAAAGAAAGTGTACCGACTTTCAGTGGTTTCAAAACGGGATGATTCATATGGTTTCTGATTCACGGAATGGCTCTGAATCCTGGCGAAAACATTACGGTATAGAGGTATTATCGTAAAATAAACAATATACCAAGCACAGCTAGCGCCAGCGAGTGGCACTGATCAGTCGACTAGGGCCGACTCTAATGCATGACAACGGGCCGGGCAAGTGTCATGGAACGTACACTGAAAAGTTTGATAATCGACAAGCGAGCGAACAAACACCTCATCCCGCATGGCTCGGCGAAGCCCCCGTCAACCAACAACTACTTTTACAAGATTCATGATAACTGCTTTCTGAGAATAGTCTTTAACACCTATATTGAAATTGCTTTAGGAAGTTCCTTTCCACCAAAAGCAGTTTTTAGCTCACGTGGCGCAGTGCTCGAAGGTGGTGCCCTGTAACACACACGTAGAATCGATCCCCATGCCTGTGGCCCACCACGTCTTCCCTCCGTCCGGGGTCAGCAAATTGGTACCAGACTTGTCTGGGAGGTTAGCGCCACTGGCTCGATACATCGGTAGGCCACCGCCAGTTATTGTGAAGGCCAGGTATGCATTCAATCACCTCTAAACGATGCTTAATGAAGTCGAATGCATGGCGCATCACTCAGGGATTGCTCGACTCCAAGAGCTTTATCCTTATCCTTTATAAAATGCATCAAACTAAACAAAGTTATATTTTACTGAGTAAAAAGTTGTAAACTCTAATTATAAGCTAACACTTATTTTAAGAAAACGAAGTGAATTAACCAGTAATTCACTTTACCACCTAAGGGTGGCTAATTTAAACTCATTTACCAGAAAAACATCACGGAAAACTGTACTTGTGAAGAATAGTAGTTGTGCAATCCAATTTCACACAGGCCATCAGTAAACACAGATGTCGAAGTGGCGATGATAGTCGATTCATGCTAATTACAATTTGGCTCTAGATGACTGACTGCAAAAGTAAGAGGAATTCGCTGATTAGGTGATTACAGAGGAGTTAGCTGATCACTTTCAGTTTGAGGACATGAGTAGATCGATAATATAGTTTCTAATTTATCAAATTCTCTCAATGGTTTACCGCCTCATCGTGGCTAGGAGGTCTTCCTGGGCATCGGGCTGCGATGTAAGGCGGAGATTCATCCCCCCAACAGTCTCGCGAGCTGGGAAGGAGTTCGACATTTCCATCAGGAAGCCCAGCTATGAGTGAACCAACACTAGGATCCATCACTGTCCTGGTATCAAACTAGTTGCATATTGGCAAATCTTCCTCTAACCCACAAGGGAGGCGACTGCCCGTGGTGGTGAAGACCTGGGGCAGACTTTGGCCAGGCTGGCCTCGGAACTCCAAGGAAACACAATGATTGAACCAGCAAAACTCCGAGAAATAGAGACTATGCTGGGGCCCGCACAACAAATGAGGACGAGCCATCCAAGTGTCCAAGTAAGTAATTTATCAAATAACTCATAAGCCAACAACATGGCGACATACCATCAACACTGACTATAAACCAACAATTCGCACAACACTTTGCCAAAGTAGCCAGAATTGGCTACTGTCGCCTAGTAGGAGGAACTGAGAACTACACGTATAATATTTTTAGTGGTTCGAGTTATTCGGGTACAATCACGTTTGAATTGATACATTGGATGACTGCTCGAATGCATGCCTATGGATGCGAAGTGTTCTTTCAAACTACATCTAACTGGCAGCGCTGCGTAGGCTATAGTTGTGAGGTTCTGAAAATGTATACGCCTGAAAGAGTGAGCCGTAAAGACTCAAGAAATGACTTTACAACGAGGTCGAGGTCTAGTTAATGTATGTCTGGATTTTACTTTCAACAAGTAGCCTGCTACGTTGCTGAGATATTTGCAAAACTCTGGACCGAAGGTGTCTATGGTGGGGAACGAACGCGCTATTGTCCTTTCCGGGGAGTAACGCGTTCACCAGCACACCATCCGAGTCCTCCGTTTTGCCTATCTCTCAGCTCGTTCTATCGACCTTTTGCCATCAGCAATCACCCGTCAGCATTATATACTGGCAAAAGATCGATAGAACGAGCTGAGAGACAGGCAAAACGGAGGACTCGGATGGTGTGGTGGTGAAGTGCGCTACTCCCCGGTAAGGACAATAGCGCGTTCGTTCCCCACTGCATACACCTGCGGTCCGGAGTTTTGCAAATATCTCAGCAACGTTGTGGTTGTATTTCGCTTAGTACCCTGCCGCGAAATTATAGTAGGCAGAAAATAAAAAGGTATAACATTGTGATTTCAACTACAGCAGCAGCTTAACTGGGTTCTATGCCGATTTAAGTAGCCTGCTATCCAATGACGGAACGCAGAGATGGAAGGCGTTGTTGTTGGCCTGCAGGCAGGAAATGAAGCATGGAGAAAATTTTCCAGCACTTGTGTTGGTTAAAATTGCTGGGACAATAAACTGGTAGCATACAGATGGAGCAGTTACGCAGTCTATTAATCAATAAAATTGAAGCAAGAGCTGAGAAAAATCATCCTGACGTTAGCGTTTCGAAAAGTGCTTCTATCACAGGAGAAGGCGCCTTCGGAATGTAGCGAAAAATCCTCTCCTTCGTCTCTATGTTATGTTTTAAGGTCTGATGTCCTGCTTTAGAAGTGCAGCTTTGAGCATCACCAGGTTTGCAAATGTTTGACCTTTCTCGTTATGCGTTTCATTTTCTCTCTTCTAATAGATTAGAATGTTCATAGAGACGAAAGCCGTAACGATTTCTGATTAAAGACCTGCCACAACAT